ACTACGCTTGCGGCTCTTGGGTTTGCTCCTTCTAATGCTGACCCGTCGCTGTCTCTACGCACCGACACCTCTTTGCCGCCGTTCTACATCCTCGTGTACGTCGACGACCTGGTCTTTGCTACTGCTGACACTGCTGGACTCGCCCACGTGAAGTTCGAGCTGCTGAAGAGACACATGTGCACAGACCTGGGTGAACTGCGCAGCTATCTTGGCTTGCAGATCACCCGGGACAGAGCACGGCGCACCATTACCTTGACTCAGTCACACATGGTGCAGCAGGTCCTTCAGCGCTTCGACTTCACGTACTCCTCGCCTCAGGCCACTCCTCTGTCTACTCGCCACTCGTTCTCAGCTCTGCCTTCGGATGAGTCCGTAGAGCCGAGTGGCCCGTACCCAGAGCTCGTTGGCTGCCTCATGTACCTGATGACCTGCACTCGACCTGACCTGGCATACCCTCTTAGCATCTTGGCACGCTATGTTGCTCCTGGGAGACACCGACCAGAGCACATGGCTGCAGCGAAGAGGGTGTTGCGCTACTTGTGCAGTACCTCGGGCATGGGGCTAGTGCTTGGAGGGCGGAGTCCAGTGGTCCTCACTGGTCACGCAGACGCGTCTTGGGTTGACGACTTGGCTATGCAGCGGTCGTCACAGGGCTACACCTTCAGCCTTGGTTCCGGCTCTGTTTCGTGGCGGTCTACCTGCTCGTCTTCTGTTCTCAGCTCTAGCTGTGAGGCTGAGATCTACGCTGGGGCCATGGCTGCACAGGAGTTACGCTAGCTCACCTACCTGTTGTCTGACCTGGGAGAGCGGCCTCGTTCTCCTCCAGTGCTGTACGTAGACAACAAGGCCATGCTGGCCTTGTGTCGGGAGCACAGACTGGAGCACAGAACGAAGCACATTGCTCTTCGGTACTTCCTTGCTCGTGAGCTGCAGCAGCGTGGTCAGCTGTGCCTTGCTTACGTGGCCTCTAGGGCCAACACTGCTGATATCTTCACCAAGGCACTTCAGCCTTGTGATCATCAGCGCTTCTGTACTATGTTAGGTCTTGTACCTACCTGGCCTCACTTACTTACCTCTTGACTTTGCTTTGTACTGTGATTTATATATACCTGCACCTGCATGTTTACCTTTATATATCTAATCCAGCATGTGAACTGGCCTTGTGGCCTTTGAACTTGTGCTCGGAATGTGTGGTGACGTTGTGATCCACCCTGAGGTTGCTTTGCTTTGTTTGACTGGTCTTGTGACCTCTTGTTTTCCCCCACTTTGCCTATGGGGGTGTGTCAAACATTTATCATATAGCTTGTCTAGGCTATAGTGGGGTAGACACTAAGGGGTACAGTTTTCTAGGGTTTCCTACTTGTTCCCAACCTTGTCCTAGTCCAATTCATTCCTGTTTCTTCACACCTCTTGCACCAACATAGGGGAGTAAAGTTCACCCCCTTCATCACATAAGCTGGGGATTGCCTGGAAGGGAGCTTCGGACCGTGGCTTAAGCAACAGGGCGACGTCCAGCTGCAAGTAGGGATCTTCAAAGGGACAAGGAGGGGAGCTAGAAGGGATTTAGTGGTGGCTTTGCAGCGAGCCCAGGAGCGCGTGGTCCTTTTACGTGGGGCGTCAATTATGAGGGGTCTGGAGCTTGTTTGGGTGGAGCGGGAGAATCTTGAGCAGGACGTTGTGTGGGATGCTCCATGGATGGATGCGCCCTACTTAGTATACACACAGACGTAGAGAGGATGGAATTGGTGTTGGGTATATTATAAAAGGCTTGCCACAGTGTGTCCCTTCCATTTTATGCTCTAGCAAGTTGCGGTGCCATCTTTCCGCCGCACTCAAAATCTCCTCTTTGATCAACCCCGCCCTTTTGCTCTCTTTTGTTCATGTGTCGATACAAGCATATTGTTAATACTCTCTTGAAAAAAAAAAAAGGTGTCGCTCGAATGCCCCGTCACCCGCCCCGATGGTCCTGCAACTGAAGCACGGTCGGCTGTGTGGATAGCCCCAACCAGTATGTCAAATGTGACTACAAACCGCTAAGGAGCGTCGACGACGAAATCGCGGACCCACTCTGGTACCTCGCCGACGCTAGTGGTGTGCTCCCCTCCGCAATGGCTGCACCATGGCCTTAGACAGTCAAGAAAACTCCTCTGCTGTGAGGCAGGCCAACCCCTGGCTCCACTCTCCCACCTTACACCTCGACCAACACCGGGTCAGGCGAATGGCATCAAGGTCCTCGTCAAAAGAACCGTTTCTCTTAGCGAAACCGCTAGGCGCGCCGTGACACATGCGGAGTCGAGCAGCAGATGCCACCTCCCCTCCCATAACACCCTAGACGCTCCATGATCATAGCCCTCTGGCCGATGCCTAGGTTGGGTGGCACAACTAAGACAAGGCGTCGAAACGCCAAGAGGAGGAGGGTAGCGACTTCATCTTCTGGTCGGCTCTTTAAACGCTTCAAGACGCAGTAAAGCGTGTCAAGGACCTCCAACCGGGCGCGTTGTGGGATCATACGTATCGTCCTCCCTCCAATCGCGTCCATGCTGAAGAAGGCACCCCACTCCCATTATGTGACCTCGGCCCACACCTCTTCCCTAAACTCCCACGGCGTCGGTCGCTTCTGTGTGTCGGCCACTACCAGAGAGGGGATCGAGCTGAGAGCATGTGCACGCTTCTCTGCTTCGGCCGCCCAACATACCCTTATGTGGTTTGCAGCGGCCCCTCGAGTGGCAAACGTTTGGAAACACGTATCGCATGGGAAACATGGAGTGGAGAAGGCGGCATGAGAGGTCTTCCATCCGCCCCGGACTCCTTGGCAGGTGCCACGAGGGTATCAAACTCCCAGAGTCTACTCCACCTCTCTGTCTTCTGCCCCTGGCTGTCCCTAGGCAGCTGCCCCTACCGATCTCCCAATCCACCTCCGCCTTGCTCCCCTGCTGCACACCTCCTCCCCCCTTGGCTGCTCCATCCCCTTGGCCACTCCATCCCCTTGGCCGCTATGGTCACCCCTAGCTGCCTCCCTAGCTTCTGCATGCCCTAGGCTGCTGCGGTCACCCCTGGATTCCCCCCTGGCTTCTGCAACCACAATCTGGGTTCAGTTTGCCTTCCAATTCTGGCAATTTAGGTATCCCCCTTTAAAACCCTTGAGGCATGCATTATGTGGAAGTGTTACAGTATTATTATAAACGTGTGAGTCAGTAGTATATGCTCCATAATGAAGTGCTGAGCAGCACATTCTGTACACAACTTGGACACAATGCGTTTCATTGAGCTGATGCTCTCGAATGCGCTTCGCGTGCCGCAAATCTCCCAACAATCTCGAGGCCCAGCCATGATTCGCCATCTCAGCTACGCAGAACCTTGCGTACGTGTAACTTGCCATTCCTGACGTGGGCATAGCACTCGAGCCTGCTTCATGTCACCTCGCCCGCAACAAGCGTTGACAATTGGCTGGTATGAACATAACGACACGCGTTGCGAGAATTCCCATAGCCAAGTGTTTTGAATTCCTAGGAACCTAAAGTCGAGCAGAGTTTCCCTAATGTTGTGTAGGTATTCACTGGACTGGTAGAAATGACTTGGTAGGTTCCGTTTTGGGTTGGTTCGTCGAGTTTTGGCTCCTCAATGATATCAGACTCCTAGAACAGATGCTACTCTGGTTTTCACCGCCATTTAGCTCGTCTGCCCCCTTTGTTTCAGCCTATGTAGAAATGCGCAAGGGGCAACTAGCACTCGGCAGTGCGCAGCGGATTCTGGCATTCACTCATCCCCACCGTCCAATGATTCTGGCTCAGATGTGTCGGCCTACCGATGAACGATGGATGTAATCGGGAAGGCATAAGTTGTCGTCTTGCGGAAATGTAACATCATCACAGGTGCGAGAAACTTCTGTCGTCTAGCATGAATCCTGCCATTCTTGAATGTATTCATCCTCCCAACCAGCCCAACTCTCCCCCAGACCAGACTCGACTCCCACAGACACCCTTACACTCCCCCTTCACTCCCCTTCTCCACTTCCCTTATCCACTCCCCCTCCTGCCTGATCCAACTCCTTTTCCTAAGTCGTTAGCTCAGTATATTGACACAACCCGAATCGCGATTTTCTCCTTCCTCTCCTGCTCCACGTTTTTGCTCGAGGCTTGTGTTGTAGATATGGTCGACAGGGGTCTCCGAAAATTCTGACTCTTCGCACCCTCTGTTGTTGTTCTTTATCCCGTGTTCTACGATAAAGAATAACTCACGCATTCCGTCTAGGTGCATTCCGATCAGCCGACTCCAGCAGCGAAAAGCGATTGCATTGTCGTGACGTTAGCTTCCTGTCAGCGGCTGGCGTGCTGATCGCTCTGCTGCCTTTAGGTCGCAGCGCAGGCATTTCTCACGGATCCTGCTGGATGCACTATGTAAAGCTGACAGCAATGGGAGAATAAGCGGCAATTTTCGTCGACTCCGAGAATAAATCCCCGACGACAGATTCGGACATTAGTGAGCCTGTTTGCGCATGCCAATCATCTCCCTGGCTCTCTGAACCATTTATTTATAATAATAAACGACATTCGCGTCAACGACTATCCGCCGATCAGTGTTACTCGAACGAGTCGCGAGGGGTATCATACCATTATCATCCGGACTTCGAGTTCTTAGAGGGCAATCACACCATTATCCGCGATGCCATTATGGTTGGATGATACGTCGAATCAAACCGTGAAGTCATACCGTTTAACAAAAGTTCCCTCACTTCAAGTCATCTGTTCCAGTATCTAGCGACCTGCGCGATCGTGGGGAGCTGAAGGGTACACTTGAGTATAATATTTATCGCACGAGCCGCTTTACCTTCTGCACGAGCCTACATTCTTCACTTGCCACTGCATTCCTTCGCAATTCCGTCTACTGCGCTTACCGTTTACGTTGAAGTAATCAGACACCAACCGACGTCACTCAGCAACAGACGTTTTTGTTTCTGACCACTAAAGCCACTCGCTGTCCATAGCACCGTCGTCGCTGTAATGGCGGCGGCTGACATTTTCGAGGCGCCTCAGAAATCGGCGGCGGCGAACATGGACTCGTCGTTTGTCGCCGCCGCGCGCCTCTGGGCCTCCACGGGCGGCGTCACCTTCCGCAGCGCGCGGCGCTCCGTCGACCTCGTTCACGCCGCGGGCGGCGCGCCGCCCTCCGCGAATCGCGCCGCGGTCTCGTCGTACCTGCACCGCATCCAGCGGCCCGGCCTCGTGCAGAACTTTGGCAGCCTGCTCGCGATTCCCGGCGACGGAAAAAGCTTCGATCTTGTCGCTTTCAGCGAGAACGCGGGCCAGATGATTCTGAATGAGTCCCCACCGGCGCCGGCGGCGGCCAGCGCGGGTGCCGGCGCCGCGGACGCTGAAAATGCGGGCATGGGCGGAGCGGGATCTGCGGCAGCGGCGATGATTGGGCGGTCGCAGACGATTCCGGAAGGGGCGGAGTTGGCGCCGACGGCGGAAGCGATCCGGAGGGGCGAAGAGGGAGCTTCGGCGGGCGGAGCGGCAGCGGGCGGCGGCGAGAGAAGACGGCTGGTGAAAATGGCATCTGAAGGGAGCACACTGTTCAAACGTAATGCCCCCCACCTTTCCTCCTTCCCCCGCGCCCCCTGCTCCTCCTCTCCTCTTACCCTTTTACCTCCCTCTCGTCCCTCCCGTCCCTTCCCACTTCCTCTCCCCCCGCTTCCTCCCCACTTCACCCTCTCTCTCATCATCCCCTTCCCCCTGCATTTCCCTTCGCCCACTGCTCCTTATGATGACATTGACAGCGTCCTTATTATGAATGAGCTCTGCTCACCGTTCCGCTCTGTCCGCCCTCACCGCTTTCAACTCACATTTATCTCTCTGCACCACGTCTCACCGTCCTCCCTCCCCCACCTCCCCCTTCTCTCTCCACCCCCCAACCCCCTCTTCTCTCCCTCCTTTCTCCTACTTCCCCCCATCCCATCCCACCTTGCCTATCCTCTCCACCGTTCCCAACCCCTCCGTAAATCCTTCCAGCGCTGAACTTTCTGGAGCGCATCCGCTGGGCGATCTTCCGCTCCAACAGCCGCGGCCGCGCCAAGGGCGCAAGAAGAACCCGCCGCCTCTCCGCGGATGCCGCCGCCCACGTGTCCTCCGCGCCCGCAGCTGCTGGCGTGGCGGGGAGAGCAAGCAATGACGCGAGGGCTGGGGGAGGAAGCCGCGCTAGTGATGGGTGGGGGGACGCGGGAAGAGCAGGGGGAATGGGTGCAGAGAGAGACGGAGGCGGAGGGGGAGGCGGAGGCGCAGCGAGTGTGAGTGACAGCGCCATATTCGTGGGGCGCGGACTGGAGGAAGCTGCAGTTAGGACGCTGGGGGAAGGGGCGCCCGCTAGTGCGCAGGGGGGAGAGGCGGAAGATGCTGTTGCTCCGCTTCCGCAGACGAAAATAGGTGAGCGCAACGGTTGTCTGGTATCAAGAGTGGTGTTTGATGGGCTTAGGGCTCTGGTGCAGACAGGGGAACCGTGAGTAATGGGCCCATCCACTTCCCTGGCCCCCCTTCAACTTTCTTCCTTCCCACACTCTCTGCCTCAAGGGCAGGGCCTTGGGAAAGACATGCGAATAGCTGGTTTGCTCCGGAGAGTGTGTAGAGGCGTTTGAGAGAACAGAGGCAGCAGCAGATGGCATGGCATGACATGGTATAGCGTCCATGAACCCCGTGCTGCTGCAGTGCCGCCACTCCAGCCCCCCTTCTACACCATCCCTTTGCCCCTCGCCCCGTCTCCCTTCCTGGCCCCGTCTCCCCTTTTCTCCCTCCCCTGCAGCCTTGGGAATGGACGTTCGGAGCCTGTTCACCCCGGAAAGCGTGGAGGCATTAAATAAGGCAGTGGCAGCAGACGCTATAGCGTCCATGAACCCCGTGCTGCAGTGCTGCCTCACAAGCTACTCCTTCTACTCCATCCCCTTGCCCCCCCGGCCCCTGCTCCCTCCCCAACCCCTCCCCTCCCCTTTCTCTTCAGCCTTGGGAATGGATGTCCGGAGCCTGTTCACTCCAGAGAGCGTTGAGGCGCTGGAAAAAGCAGTGGCAGCAGACGACATAGCGTCTATGAACCCCGTGCTGCTGCAGTGCCGCTCCTCCAACCGCCCCTTTTACGCCGTGCTCCACCGCACCTCCGCTGCTGCTGACGACGCTGACACTGCCAACACCAGTGGTACCAGCAGCAGCACCACCAGTGGTAGCAGCAGCAGCATCCCTACCAGCGTTACCAGCACCAGCATCCTCTCACTCCCTGGTACCGCCAGTCCTTCCTCTCCTGTCGCCACTCTTCCAGCCAGCATACCCACTGCTGCGACCACCACCACTGCCCCTACCTCCATCGCCACTGCCCTTACCCCCACCACTACCCTTAACCCCACCGCTGCTACCACCAACAACCCAGGAAACAACATCATAAGCATCGATCTAGAGCCAATTACAGCGCTCGACCCGGCCGTAGACGGGGCGGGCGCGCCTCTGACCCACCGGCTGGCCCTCTCGGCAGTGAAGCGGCTTCAGAAGGTGGCGCCTGGGAACATCAGCGCGCTGTGCCAGGTGGTGGTGGACGAGGTGCGAGAGCTGACCGGGTATGACCGCGTTGTGGCTTATAAGTTCCATGAGGACGGCCATGGGGAGGTTGTGGCGGAGGACATGCGGAAAGGGCGCAAGGGGCGGAAGGGAGGGGGAGGAGGGGGAGGAAAAGGGACGGGGAGGAGGAGCGGGAGCGGCGGGGCGGGTGAGGGAGAGGGGGGCGAGGGGAGGGAGGAGAGGGAGCAGCAGGGAGAGCATGGGGAGGAGGAGGAGGAGGCGGAGGCGGAGGAAGGGGAAGAGGAGGAGGGGGCTATGGAGCCGATTCTAGGCTCTCATTTCCCAGCAACGGACGTACCACAGGCCACGCGTCTCCTCTTCTTCCAGACGCGTTCCCGCATGGTTGCCGACTGCCAGTCCCCCTCCATCCCCCTCCGCCAGCATCCCCTCTCCGCCCCGCACCCGCTCAAGCTCGGGGGATCAACCCTCCGTGCTGTGGACCCGTGTCATGTGCAGTATATGTGTAACATGGGGATCAGAGCGTCTTATGTGCTGGCTATTATGGTGCCGACGCGCGGGGCGAACGCGCTGGGGCAGCCGGGGGGAGGAGGGGGAGGGGGCGGGCATGGGGGGAGCCAGTCCGGCGGGGCGCAGTTTGCAAGGAGTCAGTCGGGGGGGAGCCAGCAGGGGGGAGGGGGAGGGGAAGGGGGAGGGACGGGAAGGTTGGATCAGCAGCAGCAGGGCGTTCCTCTTGCCCGCAGCACCAGTGCCTCTTCTGGGTCGGGCTTGGGGGGTGGTGCTGGGGGGGACGCGGGGGGAGGGGGAGGAGGGGGAGGGGGAGATGGGTGGGACATGCGGTCAGACGATGGAGGGAGCGTGTCAGGGGGAGGGGGAAGCGGTGGTGGAGGGGGACGGGGAGGGGGCGTGCGGCTGTGGGGGCTGGTGGTGTGTCATCACATGTCTCCTCGAGTGGTGCCCTTCCCCGTCCGCTCTGCCTGTGACTTTCTAATGCAGGTGAGGGGGAGGGTTAGGGGGAGTGAGAGGGGGGGGAACGAAGAGGGGGAGGGGGCGTGCGGCTGTGGGGGCTGGTGGTGTGTCATCACATGTCTCCTCGAGTGGTGCCCTTCCCCGTCCGCTCCGCTCGTGATTTCCTCATGCAGGTGAGGGGGATTGGAAGAGGGGGGAGGGCAGTGGGGGAGGGCAGGGGGAGGTTGTAGGATGATGAGTATGTTGTGTTGTCCTCTCACCGTGTCCCCCATGATGACTTCTAAGGAGCTTCAAATGGGCCCCCCATCCATTTCCCCCTCCCAAACCTCTCCCACCTCCCTTTCCAGGCGTTCGGCTTGCAGCTGTCAGTGGAGCTCGAGATCGCCGCCCAACTCCATGAAAAGCAAATCCTCCAAATCCAATCTCTACTCTGCGACACCCTTCTCACGGGCAACCCCATCCGAGCGCTCGTGTCCTCCGTGCCCAACATCATGGACCTCCCACCCTGCGACCAAGGAGCTGACTTCCCAAGGGGCCTCAATAGCCCCCTTTTGCTCCCTCTTTCTCCACTCCCTCCCCCTGCTCTCCCCCCTTCTCCCTCAGGCGTTCGGCCTCCAACTCTCAGTGGAGCTCGAAATCGCCGCCCAGCTGCACGAGAAACAGATTCTCCAAATCCAGTCGCTCCTGTGCGATACTCTCCTCACAGACAACCCCGTCCGAGCGCTCGTGTCCTCTGCGCCCAACATCATGGACCTCCTCCCCTGCGTTGGTGGAGGAGATGCCTTCCAAGGCCCCTCAACCGTCTCCTCCTTTCCATCTCCCCTCCCAAAACCCCTTCCCCTTCCCACCCTCCCCCCTCTCCTTCCAGGCGTTCGGCCTGCAGTTGTCAGTGGAACTCGAGATCGCCGCCCAACTCCACGAGAAACAAATCCTCCAAATCCAATCTCTACTCTGCGACACGCTCCTCACGGACAACCCCATCCGAGCGCTCGTCTCCTCCGCGCCCAACATCATGGACCTCCTCCCCTGCGACGGCGCTGCAGTCCTCTTCCGCGGGGAGCTCTCCCGCCTCGGAGTCTGCCCCTCAGAGGACATGATCGGGGAGCTTGTGCGCTGGCTGCAGCGGGAGCACTGTGGGTCCAGTGGGCTGAGTACGGATAGCCTGAAGGCCGCTGGGTTCCCGTTCGCGGATACTCTTGGAGTGGACGTGTGCGGGATGGTGGTTGTGTGCTTTTCGCCTGCCGACGAGCAGCAGCAGCAGCAGGAGCGGCAGCAGGAGAGGCAGCAGCAGCAGGGGAGGGAGGCGGCGTCGCCTGTCCCCCCTTCACCATCCGGCAGCAGCACCAGTGGCGGCGGGTGGGGCGGTGCGAGCGGCAGTTTCAGCAGTGTGAGCGGCGTGACGGGGGACTATCTCTTCTGGTTCCGGTCGCACGTGGAGAAGTCGATCAAGTGGAGCGGTGCGAGGCACAACCCGCTTGATGTGGACGACGCCAAGAGGCGCCACCCAAGAGCGTCCTTCAAGGCGTTTCTGGAGGTGGTGCGGCACCGCGCGCTGCCGTGGGCCGACGTGGAGGTGGACGCCGTTCATAGCTTGCAGGATTTACTGTGCAAGTCGGTCAGGCGCAAGGAGAGCATGGGACGACTCATTTCTATGGGCAAACAGGTAAGACGGACAGACAGGAAAGTGGTTTTGAGACGTCTCAAAACATTTCTATGGGCAAACAGGTAAGACGGACAGACATGAAAGTGATGATTGCTGGTTCCTGGTTGCTAGTTTGAACCGTCTCAGGGGATTCCTGAAGAGAGCAGTAGAGGGTTCAACAGTGCCACCCCCCGCTTTTATTCAAGGCGTTCCTGGAGGTGGCGAGGCACACGGCGCTGCCGTGGGCGGACGTGGAGGTGGACGCCGTTCATAGCTTGCAGGACCTGCTGTGCATGTCGGGTGCGGGGGAAAGAGAGCATGGGGCGCCTCATCTCCATGGGCAAACACGCGAGCACAGGCGGGCGAGAGAGCTAGTGAGCTGGGAGGACAGGTGAGGACAGGAAAGAGAGCATGGAGCGGCAATGGCCTGGCAGTGTCAGCAAGCACCCCTGTTCACCCTTTTCAACCCGTTCCATCCCATTCCACCCCACTCCACCCCTTTCCACCCCCACTCCACCGCTCTGTCTTCCCCAGAACAACAGCGAGCTGGCAGTGGCAGCGGACGAGCTGGTCCGTCTGATCGAGACGGCGTCTGCGCCGATCCTGGCCGTTGATCTGGAGGGCAACATCACGGGGTGGAACGGCAAGGTGGCGGCCATCACAGGGCTCTCCTTCTCCGACGCCATCGGCCAATCGCTGCTCGACACGTGTCTCGACCCCTCGTGCGTGGACAAGACGAGGACCGCGTTTGAACTCGCTCTGGCAGGTGAGAGCAGCAAATCTGTTTTTTTTTTAAGAATTCTCAAAGAACAGGAGTGATTTGCTGGTTATCCTCCCCCCCCCCTCTCCACCCCCCCCCTCTCCTTCCCTTGTTCCAACCCCCCACCCACAACCTTTCCTTCTAAACCCTCATCCTTTTCTTGTCCATCGACCCTCCTACATCCTCTGACCCACTCCCACCCCTTCCCCTGCCCTCCTCCCTTCCCTTACCGTCTTTGGTGCTCGTGCAAATGGTGAGCTTGTTGATTTCGGGTGAGAGAGTCTAATTTAGTGGGGAAGATTGCTGGATGGACGATAAACCCCGTAAGAATATCACTCATCAATATCCACTTCACATGCACATGCACATGCACACGCACATGCACATGCACATGCAGGCGAGGAGCAGCAGCAGCTGGAGCTGAAGCTGAAGCGGTGGGGGTCAGTTCCCCAGGGCAAGGGGCCTCCCACGCCCTACGCCATCCTGCACGTGAGTGCACTGAGTCGTTTTTTAAGTCGCCATATAATTGTTCCAATTCATGCGGCTTTGTTACGATTAACTTCACTTCCCATGCCATCCACCTTGCCGGATGTAATGTGACTTCAAACCACCAGGCCACGGCACCCCATTCTACTACCTCACCCCACCCCACCCAAACCGCACACCGCTTCACCCTACCCATGCTACCCCACCATATCCCATCCCACTCCTTCTACTCCTCTGCAGGTGAACACGTTTGTGAGCCGGGATTCTGAGAAGAGCATTGTGGGGGTGTGCTTCGTGGGGCAGGACGTGACGGAGGAGACAGCTGTCAGGACGCGATTCGTGCGCATTCAGGGCGACTTCACCACCATCATCAACACCCACAACTCCCTCATGCCGCCCATCTTTGCCACCAACGGTGTGTCACTTCACCGCCCATTTCCGCCGCCCATCGTTCCCCTGCCCTTGCACCCTCCGGTGGGTCAGTTTGTCGCCCATCTTAGCTGCCCGCAGTGAGTCATGTCTTGCTTGCTTTACGCATCGGACACCTATCCTCTCGGCTTACCCTACCTCCTCTTCTCCCTCTTTCCGTCCCAGCATACCCCAACACTACACCTCCCCGTTCCCTTTCGCCCCTCTCTTATCCCAGTATTTGTTCACTTGTAAACCTGGAATAACTTGCAGCCCCTGCTGCCATCCACTTTCTTGCTATTGCCCACCCACCCCATTACCACCAATGCCCTTCTCAACCCATCCCAACCCCAGCATCTGGCTTTTGCACCGAGTGGAACCCAGCCATGGAGAGCATCACCGGCCTCAAACGCTCGCAGGTGCATCCTCTCTCCCCCTTCCCAGTCTTGTTGTACCCCCAGCACACGGCTATTGCTTCCTTCTCTTGCCCTCGCCTTCTCCTGCTGCACTGCACCTCCCATGGGGTTTGTCTCGTTGTCCTAAGAACAACAAGAGTTGAAGGAAGTAAGGCCTCCGCAGCCCACGTGTCCGCTTTTGACAGTCCCTTCTCTTGCCCTCCCCTTCTCCTACTGTACCTCCCACCATCATTCCTTCTCATTCCGCTCTTCCTTCTCCCAGCTTCGCACTTCCCCTCCCTTCCTCCTCACCCACTCCCTCCCCTTTTCCTCACTCTCTCCCACCCTCCCATCCACCCTCTCCCATCACCCTCCCATCCACCCTCTTCCATCACCCTCCCCATCCACCCTCTCCCATCACCCTCCCATCCACTCTCTCCCACCCTCTCATCCACTCTCTCCCACCCTCTCATCCACTCTCTCCCACCATCCCATCCACTCTCTCCCACCCTCCCATCCACCCTCTCCCATCGCCCTCCCTATCCATCTAGGTGCTGGGCTGCATGCTCCCAGGCACCATAATTGGCCGCATTGCCGTTCTCTCCCCCCCCCGCTTTGCATCCTCCCTTCTTCCCATCCACTTCTACCTACCCACCCACCCTCCCCCATCCATCCTCTCCCCGCGATTCCCCATCCATCCTCTCCCTCCCCTCTCCCACTCACCTGCCCCCATCCACCCAGGTGCTGGGCTGCATGCTCCCAGGAATCTTCTTTGGTCGCATCGCATGGCTGTCCTCCCTCCTCTTCTCCCCATCCACCCTTTCCCTTCACCCTTCCCCTTCCACCCTCTCCCACTCACCCTCCTCCCCCTACCCCTCCCCCATCCACCCAGGTGTTGGGCTGCATGCTCCCAGGGATCATCTTTGGCCGCATGTGCCAGCTGGCGGACGACGATTCGCTCACGCGGCTGCTCATCATGCTATCGCGGGCCATGGCGGGGCAGGACGCTGGTGGGGAGGAGAAGACGCACTTTGCCTTCCGCAACGCCAAGGTAGGTACGGAGGTGGGCAGGTTCATATTTCACGGGAGATTCAGGGAGGTGGGAGGGGCCTTCCCTTTCCTATCGCATGCATCCACCCACTCCTCATCATGGCGGGGCAGGACGCTGGCGGGGAGGAGAAGACGCACTTTGCCTTCCGCAATGCTAAGGTGAGAGAGGGAGTCTATTTTCGAGGTGCCTCAAGTCAAGGTGAGGAGGAGGGAAGAAGATGGTGTTTGGCAGCTCATGCTTTGAGGCGCCTCAAAACTAGGGTTCTTTTGAGGCGCCTCAAAAGTCGTCTCATGCTTTGAGGCGCCTCAAAAGTCGTCTCATGCTTTGAGGCGCCTCAAAAGTCGTCTCATGCTTTGAGGCGCCTCAAAACTAGGGTTCAGGGGAGGTTCTGACATATCTCAGTGAGCCTAGTGCACGCACGCAGCTCACTGAGATATGTCAGAACCTTGCAAGCTTCAGGGGAGGAGCGTGGGGCCTTCTCAGGCAGATGCCTCAACCCACTCCTCACCATGGCAGGGAAGGATGCTGGCGGGGAGGAGAAGACGCACTTTGCCTTCCGCAACGCCAAGACAGGGAGCATGCAACTTCATGATGTCGAATACCCAGCGCAGCAGTGATTTTGTCTGGTGTGCTTGTTCCGTCACCCCTCTTATCTTCCTTCTCCACTCCTGCAGTGCACTCGCCCTGCCAGGGTCGTCTGGTGGAGGTGCTACTGGCGGTGCAGCTGCTGTTTCACTTCAGTGCCCTTTTCTTCACCTCGCTATCCTCCTTCTCCCCCTCTCACCCCTCCCCCTGCTCTCTCCCTCCCACCCCTCCCCCTGCTCTCCCCCTCCCACCCCTCCCCTTGCTCTCCCCCTCCCACCCCTCCCCTTGCTCTCCCCCTCCCACCCCTCCCCTTTCTCTCCCCCTCCCACCCCTCTCCCTCCCAGGGTCGTATGGTGGAGGTGCTACTGACTGTGCAGCAGCGGCTGGGCGGCGACGGGCGGGCGGCAGGGGCGTTTGGATTCCTCCACGTGGCAAGCCCTGAGCTCATGCAGGCTCTGGCCGTGCAGCAAAAGGCAGAGGGGGTGAGACAAACGAAGGGGGGGAAGGGGGGGGGGGGGGTGGTGAGGAAAGGAGGGGGGGGGGGGGAAATAGGAGAGGTTGGATTGGGTTGAGAGGAGTGCTTTCATGTGTTGCGTGTGGCAGGTCCTGAGCTCATGCACGCTCTGGCCGTGCAGCACAAGGCAGAGGGGGTGATTGGAGCAAGTCAACAGGGGGAGGGGTGAGTAGTACAAAAGAGAGGGGGGGAGCTGTGGGGTGGGGAGAGGGGAGGGGAAGGGATGATTGATGAAAGGAAGTGAGGGTTGGGGGCTAGGGGGCATTTCGGGGGGCATTTCGGGGGGCATTTCGGGGGGCATTTCGGGGGGGCATTTGGGGGGGCATTTGTGGGGGGGGCATTTGAGGGGTCGGACTGAGTCGAGGGGAATGTGTGATATGTGCGTGTGGCATGCCCTGAGCTCATGCATGCACTGGCCGTGCAGCACTAGGCGGGGGTGATTGGAGCAAGAAGGGAAGGGGTGAACGGAGCAACAGGGGGAGGGGGATGGTTTGGGAGGGAAGGGGGGTTTGAGGTGAATTAAGTGGATTGTTTAAACTTTTGCGTTTGAGAATTCTCAAGGGGCGTTTCTTGAGAATTCTCGAAAATGGCCTGCAACAACAAGAAGTGCTTTTGAGAACTCTCAAAAGTGACCCCAAAAATGGCTTGTGTTTTGAGTCGACTGAGAATTCTCAAGAAACGCCCCTTCACGCAGTGCTTTTGAGAACTCTCAAAAGTGACCCCCAAAATCGCCTGCAACAACAAGGAGTGCCTTATGTTGTGCAGGCTGGCCGTTCAGCACAGGACCGAGGGGTGAATGAGCGGATGAGAGTGGGTGTAAGGGGCAGAGGTATTAGGGGGGAAGGGTGTGGGGAGTGGGATGGAGACTAATAGACTCAAGGGTGTGGGGAGTGGGATGGAGAATGGGAAGAGAGGAAGGGCGTTTGCATTTTTGTGTGCGGCATGTGATAAGCTTTCACCTCTCTTCTGCCTCGCTCATAATGCTCATTTTGCACTGTGCCTTCTCTTGTTATTTCCCATCATCATCCCCTCTCCCCCATGCACCATCCATGCACCACCATCCATGCACCATCCATCAGTTAATCGAGCATCACTCCAAGCAGCTGGCGTATGTGCGGCAGGCCATGGCAGGGGCAGTGCACGGCATGGTGCATGCACGCTCCTTGCTGCACCGCTCCCTCCTCGACGCCTCCCCTCTCTCGCTCTCCGCTCACGCCGCCCCGTCTGCCGCCGCCCCGGGTGGCAAGGTTTGGCAGTTTATGGAGGCGATGGCGCGGTGCGATGCGCAGCTGATGCGGCTGCTGCACACTCAGATGGACCCGCTGGGCGGCGGGGAGGGCGGTGGTGGTGGGGCTGATGCTGCTGTGTTCTCGCACCCCAGGTATGTTGTGCTGTGTGTTTGCATGCATACCCCCGCAAACCCCAGGTATGCTGTGGGAATGAAGTGATGTCATTTTAGGTATGCAGGGAGGTATGCTGTGAAGAGCTGTGTTGAAGAGTGTGCATGTAGGCAAATAAATGCATGTGCGCATGCTGCCATTCACGCCATCAGCGCCCTTCAACATGGCATCTCTCATCAACACGGCGGTCTGTCAAGCCATGCAACACGCCATTCACCTTCACTCCCTGTCCCTCCAACCCCTCTCCTACCCTGCCTGCCTGTCCCCGCTACCCCTCCCCTTCAGCATGCTGCCATTCACGCCCTCAGCGCCCTTCACCATGGCATCTCTAATCAACACAGCAGTCTGCCAGGCCATGCAGCACGCCATTCGCCGCTCCATCGGTCTCACCTATGACCCCCCTCCCCTATCCATCTCCCTTTTCACTTGCTCTATTCCTCTCCTAACCAAACCCTTCCGTACCCCACCCAAACCCTCAATGACCCCCCCAAACCCCTCCATTTCCCTTTCCCCACTCCTTCCCCCTTTTTCCCCCTTCAGCATGCTACCATTCACCCCCTCAGCGCCCTTCACCATGGCCTCATTAATCAACACAGCCGTCTGTCAGGCCATGCAGCACGCCATTCGCCGCTCCATCGATCTCACCTATGACGCGCTGCCAGATGTCGCGTCCACGCGCCTCGTGGGCAACCAGCTGCTGCTGCAGCAGGTGCTGGGCGGCATCACTGTAGCGGCAGTCAAGTCGACACCATCGGGCGGCACCGTTCGTCTGCAGCTGGCGCCCAGCCCCAGCCGCATGCTGGCAGTGGAGATCGAGCTGCGGTGAGTGGAGGGGCGAGGGGGAGTGGTGGGGTGGAGAGAGGGGTGAGGGGAGTGGTGAGGTGGGGAGAGGGGTGAGGGGGAGTGGTGAGGTGGGGAGAGGGGTGAGGGGGAGTGGTGAGGTGAGGGGGACGAGGAATGGATTACGTGGGAAAGGAGGGGAACACGATGGTCCTGGTTGGAACTCAGAGAACCGTTTCTTGACAACGATTGCACCCACCTTCCTCCCTTCTTCCCACCTTCCCCATCCCTTTTCCCTCCACCTTTCCTTTCCCTGGAGGATGACAATCACAATCTGCCTTAGCTTTTCGTTATCGCACGTTCAGCAACTTGCAAGCTTTTGTGTAAAGCAGCATTCTCCCTGCCTCACCTCTTATCCACCTCCGCTACCCCCTCCCTTTCCCCTGGTGATCCTGCCCCCCACAGGATAATCCAATCAGGGCCGGGAATCGACGACGCCATAATCCAGCACATGTTCGGCCTTGCCTCGTGCCCTGAGGATTCACCTGAGGCATCGTACCAGGCGCACGCGCTCGTCTCGTACCGCTCGCTGCTGCGTCAGATGCACGGGGATGTGCACTACCTGCGGCAGCCCAATAAGTGCTACTTCCAGGTGTCACTAGAGCTGCCCTGTGCTCCGCGCGCGTGAGTGGCGGTGACAGGTGTTGGGCGGAGAGTTGCATCGTGAGTCAATACAAAAAGCTCCCAGAGGCAAGGCGACGTGCACTACTTGCGGCAGCCCAGCAAGTGTTACCATACTTCCAAGTGTCGTTCAAGCTCCCTTGTGCTCCACGTGCGTGAGTGTTGACTGGTGCGACGAGATGATCAAGCGTCGTGGCACCATCTGTGGCAATCCAACAAATGTTTATGTTGCAGGACGTTTTTTTGTTGAAGTCGTTAAGATGGAGGTTTCGAGTCCTCCTGTGTGCCTCACGCTTGAGTTTTTATGGTGTGCAGTCAGTTTTGACTGGTGTTTTAGATGCTTGTGTGTTACGAATGAAAGTGTTGGTTTGAGTAAGGCTGGTTGGGGTACATAAACCTAACCCTAATAGTTGTACCCCCTATAACACACATCACTAAGACTACAACATTTGACACACCCCCATAGTCTAAGTGAGGGGTGTCAAGAAAAACTAGAAGTGTACGGTCACAAGACCAGTCACAAAGAAACAAAGCTCAAGGTGGATCACAACGTCACCACACACTCCGAGCACAAGCAAAAGAGCCACAAGGCTAGTTCAAGAGTTCACAGAGGTATATGTAAAGTGTACAAACAAAGCAAGGAGAGAACTCAAGACTATGCAAGGCGAGAACCTGTGTCAACGCGACCTAACTGTACACAACATCTCTGGTGGTCACAAGGCGGCAGGGCCTTGGTGAAGATGTCTGCAGTGTTGGCCTCGGAATCAACAAAGTCAAAGCGAGCCTGTCCACGCCTCTGCAACTCTCGCAGAAGAAAGTACCTGACCTTAATGTGCTTCAGTCTGCTCTCCAGTCGCGGCTCGCGACAGAGGAGAATCGTCGCCTTGTTATCAGTTAACAAGGTCGGCGCAGAGCTCGGCCGCTCACCAAGGTCAATGAGCAAGAACGTCAGCCAGCGCAGCTCCTGTGCAGCCATAGCTCCAGCGTAGATCTCGGCCTCAGCAATAGAGGTCGAGACCGAGGAGGAACGCGTGGACCTCCACGAAACAGCTCCAGAGCCCAGGCTGAAATAGTACCCCTGAGTAGACATGTGCGTCTAGGCATTGTCAGCGTAAGAAGAGTCACAGTGACCAGTAAGCACGACGTCCTGTCTCCCTCCAAGAACCAGGCCTCCTCGTGTAGGCTACCCTGAAGGAAAGCAGTGGAGAAGTCAAGAGAGTGTAACTCGTAGTCTCTTTGTGCTGCTACGAGCAGTAACACCCGAAGAGTGGTCATCTTCGGGGTAGGCGCGAAGGTCTGAAAGAAGTCAACTCCCTCGCGCTGACTGAAACCTCTAGCCACATAGCGCGCCTTGAAGATCGGAGGAGATCCCGGTGGCCGCTTCACCCTGAAGATCCACATGCCATCGACTACGTTCGCCCCAGGGGGGGGAACCTCGTCGATGTAGGTGCCTGTGGATCTATAGGAGGCCATCTCTGAGTCCATGGCAGCTCTCCACTGAGAGGCCCAAGGCCCTGATACTGCCTCAGCGTAAGTGCGAAGAGTCGGTATGTCAAGGGCGTCGGGGTCTCCCTCAGGGGCGAGCGGCATGGCACAAAGATGAGGGGAAGTGGCTGCCAAGAACTCCAGCTCAAAGTGCATGTCCTCTAGGGCGTTACTGCTAAGGGCAGACTCACCCCTAATGGCCAGAGGACTGGTACAAGGAGCAGCAACAAGACTGGTGGCGTAGTCAAGGCAGCGAGTAGAGGCAAACTCAGTGACTGCGGCAGTAAGAGCGGAGACAAAGGACAGAGAAGCACGTGGGTCGGTAACAAGAGAGGCAAGAACACGAGAGAGAACAGGACGGCTCGTGCGGTAGTAGTCAGTGACAGTAGTAGAGAGGGAAGCAGTGAGAGCCGACTCAGGAGGAGAAGGAAGTACAGAAGGAGACGAACAAGGCGGACTAGAACGAAAGAGGGCAGTACGAAGGTCAGTGAAGGGAACAGGGGACGAGGGACGAGGGACGAGCACGAGGAGAGCGGCGCAAAGGCCAAGTGTGAGAAAGAGGAGGGGACAACGAGGGCGGAGGAGGAGGGAAAACAGCTGGGGAGGGGTCAGGAGGAGGAAGCGGAGGACCAGAGATGGGAGGAGAGGGGGGGGAGGGAGGAGAAGGAGAGGGGAGACCGAGGGTCCGAAGACCAGAGACACGAGGAGGAGGTGACTGCTGCTACTGCTCCTGCTGCGGCTGTGACCGCTGCTCCTCTAGCTGCGGCGGCTGCTGCTGCTCCTGTTGCTGCGGCTGCTGCTACGGCTGCTTCTGCTCCGGCTGCCGCCGCTGCTGCTGCTACTGCTGCTGCTGCTGCTGCTGCTCCTCAAGTCGCTGTAGCTCCAGCTGCTGTTGCTCCAACTCTCTCTCCTCTCGCTCCAACTCCAGCTGCTCCTCACGGGCATGGCGAACACGGGCCTGGTGCCGGGTCGGGTAGGGGTGGGGGGGAGGAGTAGTGTCCGGAGAGGTGGTAGCCCCAGGACCGCTCTCCAAAGAACCAGTCGCACCACCCCTAGAGCCAGCACCACCAGAAGTAACAGGGTCCGTCCCAGGCTCTCCAGGTCCAGCAGAGGGTGCATCCCCAGTCGTAGCACCCCCAGGGACAGCTCCACTAACACCTGCTCCCCGAAGACTAGAGTCTCATGCAGTCACGGGCTCAGCTCCAACTCCAGCACCCCTAGAACTAGGACCTCGCACAAGTACGCTCTATGCTCCAACTCCAGCACCTCTAGAGCTAGCACCTCCAGGGTCCTCGCCACGAAAACCGGCTCCCGCAGGGTCTGCTGTAGGCTGGGAGGAGGACTGCGGGGAAGGAGGCTGCACCTGAGGGGCTACCGAGGGGGTGACAGACAGTGCGACCCGACAGGATAGGACGCGACTGGCAGGGACGGGCGCGACAGGCGCGGACAGGCAGGGCGCACGGGGCGCGCCGGACGGGCAAGGCGCAGCGGGGGCGCGACGGACGGGCAGGGCGCACGGGGCGTGACGTACGGGCAGGGCGCAGCGGGGGCGCGGCAGACGGGCAGGGCGCACGGGGCGCGACGGACGGGCAGAGCGCACTGGGCGCGTGCGACGGGACGGGACGGGAAGCGCGATGCAGACGGGACGGGACGGGACGGGACGGACGGCGTGACGCGGCGGGACAGAAGGGACAGGCGCAACACGACGCGACAGTAGGGGGCGACGCGACGGGACAGCAGGGGCGACGGGACAGGACAGCAGGGGCGACGCGACGGCAGGGGCGACGGGACGGGACAGCAGGGGCGACGGGACGGGACGGGACAGCAGGGGCGACGCGACAGCAAGCGCAGCAGGCGCTAGGGCACGAGAGAGACGAGCGCGATAGGCGCTAAGGGACAGTACGGGCGTAACGGGCACTAGGGTACGGGACAGGCTCGGGCGCTACGGACGTGAATGAGAGGAATGGGATCCCACAGGATCCTAACATAGGTGATACCATGTTAAGAATGAAAGTGTTGGTTTGACTAAGGTTGGTTGGGGTACATAAACGTAACCCTAACAGTTGTACCCCCTATAATACATATTACTAAGAGCGTATTCCTATCCTCGTATCAAGAAAACCTCATATCAAGATTGTACTTTTTGCCTGGTAAAAGTAGCGAGAGGTTTTGGGTTTAGGGGAATTTTCAGTGGGAGGTTGATATGAGGTTTTCTTGATACGAGGATAGGAATACGCTCTAAGACTACAACATTTGACATTGTGTGCCATGTTATGCAGAAGAAGTCAGGCTGAGTAGATGGTTTAGCTTAGCACATAGCTGGTTGGTTAGTGTGAGGAGCTCAAAGTTCAGTGCCTTTCAGCGTGCCTTTGTATCGAGTGTATGATTGTGATATAACAATAATGTTGCAGGGTCTAAATGTATGGATATACACAATTGCACAGCAAGCTTGGTCTATAAGGCGAATCGTGTAGTCATATTCCATTAAACAGGCGCAAAGATAATTAGGAGAATGCACTACGAGCACTGACACGCACACACCCCGCCACGCGATAGTCTCAAGGGATGGCGAGCAACCACCAAGAAAATTACTGTTGACGTTATCGTGAAGCTCCGTCCCTGTCTCCGTCAGCAGCTGGTCCAGCGAATAGCTGCTACATAAGGCTGACTGAGCCAGTGTCGTCAATCAGTGCAAGCCTCCACGTTAGCTCTTCTCCTCTCTATGCTGAAGTCCCATCACCTTCACGCTCTGCACGTGGAGGTTCCCCTAACGGGGCCAACGTCATTATCACACTCGTTACAATGGCCTCGCGACAATTGCGTTCCCGTAGCCGCTGCTGGTGCAGGATGCTCTGGGTCCGCCCTTGGGAGACTAGCGAAACGGTTTCCGTCGCTAGCGAAACGGGTAACCAGATGCGATGGTAGGCAGTCTCTCGTTTCGCCTGTTCATGCCAGTAAGGACCCAGCGACGGTTAGGGACACCGGCAGCAAGTTGACGGATTCCATACTTGGCCGAGAGACGGAAAACGTTCGCGATTTGTTCAATTTCGGACGGGAATTAGGAAGAGGTCAGTTCGGCGTGACTTACGTATGCACGGAGAAGCGTACCGGTCTACAGTACGCGTGTAAACTTATATCGAAGAAACAGCTTATAACGAGCAGCGATGTGGAAGACATAAAGAGAGAAATCGCCATTCTACACCTCTTATCGGATCACCCGAATGTGATTAATCTGAAAGGTGCTTATGAGGACGATTCTGCAGTGTATATAGTCATGGAGCTCTGTACAGGCGGCGAGTTATTTGATCAAATTATAGCGAGAGGGCATTATAGCGAGCGCGCAGCAGCGGAAGTGGTCCGTGTGATTGTATCGGTGGTGAGGTATTGCCACGCCAACTACGTGATTCACAGGGACTTAAAGCCCGAGAACTTTCTTGTATCGAGCGAGGAGGAGGGCGCACCGCTTAAAGCCGTCGACTTTGGTCTGTCCGCGTTCTATAGGCCAGGTATGCAAGCCGTGCCGCTCATCCGAGCAGCCCACTCCACCCCCACAACCCACTCTCTTCTCAAGACTCACCCCCCCCCCTCCCCCCCCCCACCCTTCCCCCCCCTCCTCCTCTCCCCGCCACTCCCCCCCCGACCTCCCTCCCTCTTTCCCAAACCCCCCCTCGCACCCATGGGTTTCTGTTCTTCCTTTAAAGCTTCTCATGCCAACTGCTTCATGCAAAAGTCCACATGCAAATGCCCTCTATCCCTCTTCCTGCAATTCTTTCCCACCCTTCACACTTTCTCCCCCCTACCTTCCAATCTTCTCTCCCTCCTTCCCTCCCCTCCCCCACCCTTCCTCTCGTTTCTCGCCCAATCCGCCCAACCCCCACACACTACCCCATCCCACCCGCGTCACTCCGCCATCCATCCCCGTTACAAGGCCATCCGCTGCACACAGTAGCGGGCAGCGCGTTCTACATGGCGCCAGAGGTCATCCGAGGCAGCTATGGCCCAGAGGCGGACCTGTGGAGCGTGGGTGTCGTGCTCTACATCCTGCTCTCGGGATCTCCGCCCTTCTGGGGCGGTAAGAGTGACGAGGATGAGGGGTGATAATTGGGGAGCAGGCGGAAGAGGGAGGGGGAGGGGGAGAGAGGGATAAATGTGGAGCGTTTCACCATTCACCACCTTTCGCAACCACTCGTCAACCCTTTGTTGATTCACTCGGTCTCCACCCCCTCCCCTTTCCCAGCCCCAGACCAACCTACGTCCCCTGCATTTGTTTTCCCTCCATTTGTTTTTCTTTATTTTTCCCTCTTTCCTCCCTTCCTCCGCTCCTTTCTCCCCATCCTCCCCACTTTCCCCATTCCAATTTCCCTTTGGCCCCTACCCCGCCCGCCCGCTCCCTCCTTGCAGAGACAAACGAAGGGATATTTGAAGAGGTCTTGTGGGGCCACGTGGACCAATCAGAGGAGCCGTGGCCGCAGATTTCAAGGGAGGCGAAGCAGCTGGTGCTGAGTCTGCTGCAGCAGCAGCCAGAGAGACGACCCACAGCAGCACAGCTCATGGGTACGTGTGTGGTGTGTGTGTGAAGTGGGGTTTGTGAGAATCAATATGCGTCTAGATGTCTTGATACAGCTTTCTTATCAAGCAGCAGCCAGACACACGGCCCACAGCAGCATGGGTGCGTGTGTGTGGTGCGTGTGTGTGGTGCGTGTGTGTGAAGTGTGGTATGTGGTGTATGGGGTTGGGGTGTGTATGTGGTGCATAGTGTGTTGGGGTGTGGTGTGTGCATCGCGCAATGCAAGGGATGGGTACGGTACGGGAGTGGGTGTGTCACGATGAGTTTGGGAAGGCAACGTGAATGACAGGATGTGAGTGTGCTGTGCAGGTATGGTGCCGACGTCATGCACTGCTTGCAACAGGAGTCTGGCGTATGGTTGGCAGCAGCAGAAGCTATCTTGAAAATGCGATTCCTCTCAGGTTTCCTGAGCCATAATAAATGAAGCACCCCCCACCTCCTTTTCCCACCTCCTCCCCTCCCATCTTATTCTCTTCCTCCCACTCTGCCTTACATCCTACCATCTTGGATTGACTATGAAGTTGACCCAGAAGTCTCCTCCGCCTGCTCTTTCTTGAATCAGAGCATCCGTGGGTGAGGGAGGGAGGCATGGCGTTGGACACGCCTCTGGCGCCGGCAGTCATCACTCGACTAAAGCGCTTTGCAGCCATGAACCGACTCAAGCGCCTCACACTCACACTCTTTGCGTCCCCTTCGCCTTGTTTCTCTCCACCAGAGCATTCGCGGGTGAGGCAGGGAGGAGTGGCAGCAGACACGCCTCTCCTTCCCCTGCCCTCAAGATTCTCCTCCTGCTGCCCTCAAATCCCTCTCTCCTTGTTCTCTCTCACTTCCACCAGAGCACCCGTGGGTGAGGGAGGGAGGAGTAGCAACAGACACCCCGCTGGCGCCGGCAGTCATCACGCGGTTGAAGCGCTTTGCAGCCATGAACCGACTCAAGCGCCTCACGCTGAAACTCATCGCCTCTCGCGTGTCTGACGCCGAGGCCATGGGGTTGAGAGAGATGTTTAAAGCCATGGATGGGGACGGCAGTGGGACGATCTCGTTGTCTGAGCTCAGGGATGGGGTTGAGAGGCTGGGGGATACCGTGCCTAAGGAGCAGCTTCGGCAAATGATGGCAGCGGTAGGCTTTGCTGTCTTTTCTCCCCAATGTTTCAATTTATTTCGTTTCAAATTCTTTACCGCTGGGAGTTATTGCGCATGCAACCCCATCATGCTGCACCTCTGTGTGCTTGTAACGGATCAATTGTAACCACCTCCTTGTGTGCTTGTAACAGGCTGACGTGGACAGCAGTGGCAGCATTGACTATAACGAGTTTCTGGCAGCTACTATGCGAGTTAGCAGGGAGACCAGGGAGGCTCACCTACAGCAGGCTTTTGCCCACTTTGACACTGATAACAATGGGTAAGTTGATTATGTACCCCCTTTTTTTTTTAAGTAGGTATTGTGAAAATATGCGTAATTTTACAATCCAACAACACAGTAATCAAGTGGACTGACAGAAACTCGTTCTGGATTTTATTTCATGCGTTCTGCACTCTGCTCTGCACCATCCACACACCCATTCTGGCTCCCATGTCCCCGTTACTGGCAGATTCATTACAGGGGATGAGTTGCGCAGTGCACTGGAGAGTGAAGCTGGGAGTGCTGGGGTTGGCGAGGCGGAGATAAAGAGAATATTTGCTGACGTGGATGCTGATCAGGTGAGAGGAGTTGGTGTGTGTTAAGGCGAGACAGGAGGCGGTGAGTGGTAAGGTGAGACAGGAGGCAGTGAGTGGTAAGGTGAGACAGGAGGCAGTGTGTGGTAAGGTGAGACAGGAGGCGGTGAGTGATAATCCGAAACAAATTGGATTGATTCGATTTGAAGCCTCCATTCGGTTCCCCGTCTCTTTCTATTGCTAATTACGAATCAATGCAGCCATGCACTCGTTTCCCCTTCCTGCATTTTTCCTTTCACTCGCACTCTCACACTCACACGCGTGCGCATGCTCACGCCGTTTCTCCATACTCGCATCCCGTGGTTCAAGAACAGCAAGATTGACTCTGCTGAGTTCTGTGTCATGATGGAAGAAACCACAACCAAGACGACTTTTGAGTTGACTCAAAAGTCAACTTCCACACTCTCTCCTTGCGCTCCCATCCTTCCAGAACGGCAAGATTGATTTCTCTGAGTTCTGTGCCATGATGGAAGAAACCACAACTAAGATGGAGCAAACCACAAACCTCAGGAAAGGAGCTTCAACCACCATCACGTCTGGTCGGCAACCCGAAGATTCTGGTCGGCAATCCCAAGTCTCTGGTCGGCGGTCGGCAAAGAGCCAGAGGAAGCGAGCTCGTGGCAGCAAGTCGTGACTTAGCAAGCGTTGTGAAGTCGCTGTCTTCACGTACTGCTCGGTACAATGAACCATGTCCAATGTACCATGCGGTCATGCCCCCAATGTACCGACTGGTATTGTTGCTCTGTTAGGAAAATCAGTGGGGGTGTGAGTGCACTTGTCCATAGTAGGTACATGAGTGCAGTGCATCTCTCAGTATAGGCACGCATGAGTGAGAGATGCGATGCGATTTATCATCTAAGGTAGTGTGTCGAGATGAATCACGACGACGGCAAGTGAGTCATATTGCAGCATTCACTATGATAGGGTGTCTGTACAAGAGAACAACACTCTAAACTGCAAATTAAGTAGGAGGTAACAACAGCTACCAGTACCGGTACTTAGTTGATCCATGCAACCAGGACAACCGCTCGTCACTCTACATTACCCCTCAACCCCTTGCATGCCCCTTTCCCCCATCCTGCAGAGCACAGTGCGCACACACACACCCACATGGCATGCATGTATGGCTGGTTGGGTGGACGGGGTGTGACATGCACAGTCACGACTCACGACTCACCGAACATGCCCTTGCACATGACATAATGTGGGGGAGGGGGGTCACTTTATGCTACAGTGCAATCAACATGTGCTGATACAGTGCAAGCTATTGTGGTGCTACAGTGCATGCATGGATGAGTGGCTATTGAGAAACGCCACGGTGGCAGCCAGCACCGGCCCACCGACAGCTGACCTGGCAAGCTCCGCCACGTCAGCGTCATCCAGCGCAACAGAGTCCTGCGTGGCCACACAGACTGACACGTCAGTCAGCTCCTGGTGCTGACGTGGCAGCGGATAAGCCACCCGGACTCTGTCGGTGCGCCAGAACGACACGTGGAAATTGGGCGAGTCGGGGTGGCAAGACAGGTCGCGCCTGGACAGTTCTGCAGGAGCGGCGGTTTCTAACACGTGGGCTTGATCTGCTCGGTGTGCAGCAGACGCAGAGGCAGCAGGAGGAGCGGGAAGAGCAGCAGCAGGAGGAGCAGGGGCAGGATCTGTGGCAGGGGCAGCAGCAGCGGCAGCAGAAGGGGCAGCGGCAGGGGCAGCGGGGGGGGGTGAGCGTGCAGGGGAGAGTGGAGTGTCTGTGGGTGAGGTTGCAGCGGGGGGGGTGAGCGAGGGGGTGTATGCAGCAGCGTCAGCAGCGGAGGGGGCAGCGAGTGAAGCGGTGTAGGCAGCAGAGGGGGCAGCGAGTGAAGCAGTGTAGGCAGCAGAGGGGGCAGCGAGTGAAGCGGTGTAGGCAGCAGCGCCAGCTCCCAGCAGCTCTGGACGAAACTCCTCATCCCCAAACGCCTCTGATGCCCCCACGCCCACACGCGTGCTGCCTGCTCGCAACCCTACCCCCATACCCACACTCATGCCACTTCCTGCCCCTATCCCCATGCCTATCCCACTGCTTCCCGCACCATCTATGCCGATACCACCACCCATGCCACCACCCATCTCAGACCCCATGTCCGTTGGCGAGTCGTCTTCAATTTGCACGAGGCTATCCAACCCCCGGCCGTTCCCACTGCTCCCTTCCCCCAACACCATACTTTCCACACCTAGACTCTCCGGACCTAAACCTTCCGAGCCTAGGCTCTCCAAGCCTAGGCTCCCGCCAAACGCCCGTCGGTTGGCCCGCCGAAGCTGCGCCATGTGGTGCGGGCGCATGTGGATGGTGACGTTGTCAGTGACGTCAACCAGCAGCAGCTGCTGCAGCAGGGGTAATTTCAACAATAGACAGGGAATTACGTCGCGGAACTCGTCAAAGCCCCTTATAATGGCGAAGATTATAACAGGCATCATGCGCTTTAAAGAGTCGTCGCTAGGGCCCATGACTTGCTTTAGGGTTAGGTCAACTGCTGCCGCTGATGCTGCTGCTGCTGCTGCTGCTGCTGCATCATCTCGTGCCATGTAAGCCTGCTCCTGCTGCTGCTGCTGCTGATGCTGCTGCCCTCTTTCCCTCTCGTTTCCCTCCCCCTCCCCCTCCCCCTCCCCCTCTCCCTCCTCCCCTTCTTCCTCTCGTCCGCGCTCCAAACGGGCAGTTCCGTGCGCTCCGCGCATGTCCTCCCCCCCGCCGCCTTCCACCGCATCAAGCCCATTCGCAAACGACGCTTCCCCTTGTCTTGAAGTCCCCGCACGGTGCTGTCCGCTTCCCCCCTGCCGCGTCCCTCCCTGCATTCCCCCGCGCTGCGCGCCTTCCGCCATCTCCCCGCCACCCCCGCCGATGCTACTGTAGAAAACATCCGCGCTTCCGGATTTCGCGGCGAGAAACAGGAACTTATCCACCGAGGCGCCAATCTCGGCGTAGCGCATGCACTTGGTCCAGGCCTCGCTATTGTCACGTCTTCCCGCCGACGCGCTCCCGCCCATCCCATTCGTCCCGATGCACACGCGAACCTTCTTTAAACGGGGAAATCCTTGCAGCTTATCGACAATATCCATGACCTTATCCCAGTACGTTTTGAAATTCCCCGGGCAGATCAGCGTTGCGGTTTCGACTTCGCGCGCTTTTCTGTGCCATAACTTGCAGACCGAAGCGCAGTGCGCGAGACAGCGGATGTCCTGTATGCTGCTAAGAATCTCCAGAAGAATATCGTCGGGGATTCGACGGAAAAGACACAGTGCTCCCTCGCCTTCCATACTCGAGTCGAGGCTCGTGGGAAAAACCTAGACTTGTTCTGAAGTGAGCTGTGTGGCGAGGCGAGGGAATTGAGTTTTGACTGAAATTTGTGGAGTAGCCAGTGGAACCTAGCATGCCCGCTAACAACATTGAGGTTGTGTAAGGAAAATCCCTTTTCCTTACTTCGCGTCCCTGCTCAGCGCGTACACCACTCTTCCCGCCAAGAGTACCCCACAATATTCCGTTACCACTCTCGACATTCGCCTCGACCCCATTCCTGCCACTGTTCACGATGCGACCCAACCTCACGGTTCGGTTGGTAACCCGCGCTCCGGACCTCCGCCTCGACAGTCCCCCAACCTCGGCACCAGGCCCGTCGCGCACCCCATTTTCCACACGTTACCATTACCACCGTAGCTTCGCTATATATTCTTCGCTCAAATCCTTCGCTCATTGTATTCTTGGCTCGATAGTGCAATCCTCGCTCGCTCACTCAATTGCACTCGTAACACTTGGTTATCAGAGCCTACGATCTTCTCTCGGACCGCACCCACACCTTCGCTTCCCCACTATCTCCATTTTTTGGGGGGGGTAGACGTCTCTCAGCGACCAAGCACCGCCGCTCGTAGTGCTCTCTCGTAAGCACGCACGGCCACGACAGAGGCTCTCGCTGAGCTCGCCCGACAAGCCCGCCATGGCAGAACTTAATGTCGCGACACTGACGCAGGAGCAGCTAGACCGGCTCGTGCGCCAACTTGAAGATTCGGTGCTCGAAATCGCCACACTCACGGCGGAACGCGACTCCGCTCGCCAACAATCGACAGTGAATGCACCAGCACCAACAAACGCACCTGCACAATCCGAGGAGCCGATCATTATCTCCTCCGGCACACCGACACAGAATGACAGCGTGGGACAGCGCTCAGGCGTAGCCAGTGAGGGCGTCGCCCACTCAATGCCGGGCATGGAGAGAAACAGAATCGCACCAAGCCCACGGGAGCCCCGCGAAGCCCGTCGGCACGTGGAATTTGCAGCGACAAGTGGCGAGTATGCCATCACGGCACCAATGCCACTCAAGCCGCAGCGTCCACCCTGTTTCGACCCGAGCCAACGTGGAGGTCCGACGGTTCAGTCGTGGGTCTTCACGATGAAGGTATTCTTTGACGCGAACTACGTCGAGTCGGACGCAGCGAAGATTCGCTACGCTGTTTCGCTGCTGAGGGGCCCTGCCATGGACTGGTGGCGAGTCATCGTGACGTTGCCACGCGCCTACGAGCCACCGTCGCAAGAAGACGGGCCCACGGGCCCCGCCGTCACCTGGAGTTCATTCTGCGAGATAGCCCAGTACAGCACGTGGGATGCGTGGTGCGGAGGGCTTCGGGCGCATTTCGAGCCGATCGCGGCTTCGATTTCGGCGCGTCAGAAATTGCGTACATGGCGGCAGCTCGGATCGGTTCAAGACTCTACGAGCGGATTTCTCGCATTATGCGAGCAAATCGGCTATATGCACGAAGCGGAGTGGGTGGACCGTTACGTCGGAGGGCTAAAGCCGGACATCTCGCACGAAATCATGCTACGCGGGCTCTTGAATTTCAACGAGATCCTCGCACTCGCCGAGAAAATCGACATCCTACGACGACCGAGACCGGGGTCCTACTACGGACAACGTCCTCGGGGACCGATCGAGCACGCCACCGTACGCGCCGTTGCGACAAATGCAGCTGCCGCACCGTTTAAGGGGCGCTGCTTTGCTTGCAATAGGCTGGGCCATCGCAAGAGTGAATGCCCAGAGGAGCTGAGGCGCCGTGGAACAGAGCAGGGGCGAGAGTCTCAGAGGCCGGGAAACGCCAGCAGTCATTAGAAGTTGGGCCAACTACTGACGAGACTGCCTGCTCGCCCAACTTCACCGACCCTCACCGAGTCACAGTACCGATTCACGCTATCGATCGGGCTCGGACGAATAAGGAGGGTACAGCGACGGATTGCCCAGTACTGATTCACGGGAAAATACAGGGAGCAGAAGTGAAGATTTTTATAGACGGAGGCGCAAGTCACAGTTTAGTTAACACCGCGACTGCAAGGAAGCTGCAACTTGCACTTAGTCGGTGTTTACCGGAGATCGATGCACGTTTAGTTGACAGAACGCCGCTGGCCATACGGGAAAAAGTGGAGAGAGTAAAAGTCCGCTGTGGGGAAAACTTCAGGTTTACACAGGAAATGCTCGCGACAACACTGGATGGGCACGACATTTTACTAGGACGTGATTGGTTGTGACGGTATAACCCGCGAATCGACTGGACGACGGGTAGCTGCACTGTGCGAAGTAGCGGTAACTGGGTCGAACTACCTCGCTGGCAGTCGCCTGAGTCTTCAACGGTCCACGTCAACGCCATCACGATGAAACGGGCTGTCACCGCTGGAGCTGACGTGTACGCGGTGGATATCGCAATGGTGGAAGAAGCAGATCAACCGAGCGATTTTCTGAAAATATTGGCGGCAGTACCATCAGAACTACAGGAACTGTTGAAACGGTTCCCGGGGATCTGCCCCGATGATTTACCGGAGGGTCTGCCACCTCAGCGGGCGCACGATCACCGAATAGAATTAGAACCCGGGGCACAGCCAACCGTACAGCGACAATTCAGACTGACACAGCCCGAGCTCGACGAGTTAAGGAAGCAGTTAGATTACCTGTTAGAGAAAAAATTCATCCGACCGAGCTCATCCCCATTCGCCGCACCGATCCTGTTCACACCGAAAAAGGACGGAGGATTTCGCATGTGCATCGACTACCGAGCACTGAACAGGGTTACAGTCAAATCGCAATACCCCATCCCCCGCGCCGACGAACTGATAGATCAACTGCGAACAGCACGGGTCTTTTCGAAAATTGATTTACGGGGAGGTTACCATCAGATTCGGGTCGAACCATTGGACTGCACCAAGACAGCATTTAGGACTAGGTACGGGTCATTCGAGTACACAGTGATGCCTTTCGGGCTGACCAATGCACCGACGACTTTTCAGATGACCATGAACGAGACGTTTAGACCGCTCTTAGATAAATGTGTGATCATCTACCTCGACGACATTCTAGTCTACAGTCGGGACAAGCAGCAGCACTTAGCCGATTTAGAAGCCGTATTTACAGTTCTAGACAAACACCGACTACTGACTAAGGGTTCCAAGTGAGAGTTCTTCCAGGATAGACTAGAGTTTTTGGGGCACGTTATTTCGGAGGCTGGAATAGAAATCGACCCGAAGAAACTGGACACGGTCAAAGCGTGGAACCCCCCTACGAACATCACGGAGCTGCAGAGTTTTTTAGGGTTCGTTAATTACGTGCGTCGGTTCGTCTCCGACATGGCACGCTTAACTGCCCCGCTGACGGACTTACTGCGGAAGGGGGTCGTTTTTACGTGGGGGGAGAAAGAGCATGCTGCCTTCTCTACCCTGAAAAATGTTCTCTGTTCACCGCCCGTACTGCGCATCGCCGACCCACACCGCCCATTCGAAGTGGTTACCGACGCAAGCGACATCGCCATTGGAGCCGTACTGCTACAGGATTTCGGCAACGGTTTACAGCCCATCGCATACGAATCACGAAAGTTGCATCCGCCCCAAAAAAATTACCCGATACACGATCGCGAAATGCTTGCGATCGTGCATGCCTTCAAAGTGTGGCGCTGTTACTTGACCGGCGCCGACGTGACAGTACGGACAGACCACAAATCTCTACAGTACCTCCGCGCACAACCCCACCTCAACCCACGACAAATCCGTTGGCTCGACTACCTCGAGTCGAATTTTCACTACACGGTCACCTACAAAAAGGGGGCATCGAACATCGCCGACGCATTAACCCGGCCCATAGCCCAAGTCCACGCCATACTACTCGCCCAGACCAGCCCACTGCTGACAGGCCTATTTACCCACGGTTATCAGACTGACCCATTTTTTACAGGCGGAAATTCGCAGCAGTTTGCAGCAGCAAGGGAAGTCTATTACGTAAAAGCTGGCACTGATCGAATCTGGGTACCAGGCTACACACTTCTATGGGAATTACTATTACAAGAGGCACACGACGGAGTCACCTCACGCCATTTCGGAGTAGAAAAAACATGGCAGCAACTACAGCGGTACTACTACTGGCCCGAAATGTTGACCGACGTGCAGCGACACGTGGCATCGTGTCCCACCTGCCAAGTCATGAAATCATCACGAAAGCGTCCGGCAGGGCAGTTGCAGCCAATACCACCCCCAGAGCGTGCTTGGCAGTAGGTGATGATGGACTTCGTCACGGGGTTACCGGCCGGAGCAAGTGGGAACGACGCGATCCTGGTCGTCGTCGATCGGTTGACGAAAATGGCACATTTCGCAGCTTGCAAAAAATCAATCACTGCCGAAGAAACGGCCCGCCTCTTCATCGCAACCATCGTTCGATTACACGGGATACCAGCAGCAATCATCAGCGACCGCGATACGAAATTCACCAGCAATTTCTGGCGGAACCTATGGCAGCAGTTCGGCACGAGGCTGCAGTTAAGTTCTTCGTACCACCCCGAAATCGACGGACAGACAGAACGGACAAATCAGAGCATGGAACAGTTAATCCGAGCCACGTGCGACGACCCCATCACCTGGGAACAGCAACTGCCACTCATAGAATTCGCGTACAACAACTCGCCATCCGCCACGACCCAACAATCACCGTTTTACCTGAACTACGGACAAGACCCTACAGTACCCATGACCCCGAATCCCGACAACCCAGTACCACGTGCGCAACAATTCGCAGAAGTTTTACAAGCAGCACGAACCA